GAGAGAGAGAGAGAGAGAGAGAGAGAGAGAGAGAGAGAGAGAGAGGACGACGTGCGAAAACGTGCGCTACGAATTTTTCCACAAATTCGCGACATCGTAGGACACCGCGACCTTCTGGATTACGCAACCGACGCGGAGGACTGCGCCGTAATGCCGCAGGGCAATGCGCGCAACCGCAACCGCAGCCGCAGGAATCGGAACCGACGGCGACCTCCTCAGCCACCGACGAACGTCACGGAATCCTCGCGAAAGGCCGAGCAGAGGAAGCTCGAGGAGGAGAATCGTCCGACCTCGAGGAACGAGCGCGACGACGACGACGACGACGACGACGACGACGGCAACTCGAAGACGAACGACTCCGTCTCCGCGGAGAATCCCGTTCCGGGGAATGTCGACCTGACCGAAGACGAGGACCGGGGCGGATCCTCGTTGAATCACGGATGCAGATTCCGACCGAACGATAAGCGCAGAATCGAGAAGATCGACCTGGCGGAATCTCGTCCCGGGATAATCGAGATCACGACCGTCAGCAGTTTACCTCTGGAAGCGACGATCGGCCATATCGCCGGGGTGGGCATTTTGGAGACCGGAAATGGTAACGGAGCGTTGAAGGAGGCAACGATAGTGACGGTATCGGAACCGGTGGAATCGGTAAGACCGCTTTCCGGTTGTACAAAGAGCAAGCTCTCGAAGCGAGCGAATGAGACCCGATTGGAGATCCGAGAAGTCAATGACAGCGATGCGGAGGCCGATTGTGGGTCAGCGATCGTCGAATTCGAATCCGATGCAGAGTCGGTCGGGGGACAGGACTCCGAGGATCGCGTGGAATTCCAGCCAAGGGATCGGGTCGGGCAGCAATACGTGCCACAGAAGAAGTTTCCCAAACCGGAAATGGAATCCCCGACTCTGATGTGGGCCACCGTGATGCCTAGAGACGTGGAGAAAAAGCTGCGAAATTTCATCGAGGACCTGCAACTACCGAGTTTCTCCGAGGAAGTAATCGAGGACGAGGGGAGATCTCTCGAGAAAGCTGCATGCGACTTCGCGGCAGCAGAGAGCAGATCCTTCGAGAAAGCAGCTAGCTCGCCGCGTCGGAAAACGAGGAAGTCGCGCGCGATGTCGGTGTCGCATTACGCCAGCAGCTTTCTGGACATTATACAAGAGGAGGGTGAAAGACTGTCGGAGGACGAGGCCCAGCATATCAGAGATTTCATCAACGAGGAAATCAGCAAGTATCGGCGCGAGGACAGGTCGCATTCTGTCGAGAGGATGACATCGACGGATGACGTCGAAGCGAGAAGGGTTGATACTGACAAGATCGAATCGGCTGATGACAAGTCGGAATGCGATATTAAGATTAAGATTGATACGACGAAGAATGACATTTCGGAATTGTGTTCACGCGATAAAGCGAACACTTGCGACGAGGTTGAGAACGTCGAGCCTGATTCCGTTGAAAGTATCGCGAGTCCTGAAATCGAAGTGGTGAAAGACACTGATCCTGTGGCTGAAACGATGAGCGAACAAATGAATGCGAAGGACGACATCCTGAATAATGAATCTTTGGAAATTTTAGTAGACGCGACGCGAGCTAATTCCAACCTCGAGGACCGTTGTTGTATCATTGAGAAAATTGAGATTGTGAAAAATGATACTACGAAAGACGGTGAGGAAAATAATGAAGCGGAGAAGCTAGAAAGAAACCTGACAAGTATTGTGACTGTAAGTGATATCGGTGACGCGGATGTAAGTAAAGCGGGAGGTAATAAATTTTCGTCGGCAGTAGTCGAGGTACCCGGAAAATCAGGCAACCGCGATGTTCCGCGAAAAGATTCCGTCGAGACTCGCAGGATCGTTAATCACAGCGTATCACGAGTGGACGACGGAGTTGATTCGGTCATCTCGGATTCGTCGTCGAGCGAAGTAACCCGGTCGGAAACGAAGCGACCGCCGCCTCTGCCGAAGAGGTCATCCAGTTTCGGCCGCGAGCCTCAGAGACCGCCGACGCCACCTGAAATAGACTATATCTCGAGCGGCGCGAAGATTCATCAGACGTCTGTTGCGGCGAACGGACGCGAACGTCGCGTCGAGTCGACGGATTTATCCGCGCGGAAGCGTGCGAGTTGCGAAGCGGCGGACGACGGGCTGCCACGACGGCCGGGGCTTCCCGGAGCTTGCAAGAGTTCTTCTTGCACGTTGAGGACGACCGGTCGGCCAATTTATGGCGATGGTTTTTCGAGCTCGCGTGACCTCATCTCGACGATCGTTCGCGCTAATGAGATTCGTGGCCGTATAAATCAGGTCGGACGCGCCGACACCGCTCCGACAGCGGCCGGGAACGTTGAAGCTTCAACCGAGGGCGGTCGATCGATCGCGTCATCGGGTATTCGCGACGATGATCTGTCACGCTCGCGCGGCACCGGTGCTACGCACGTCGTCACGTTGGCAAGCACGACTAGCACGGAAATAACGCGTCGCGAGGAAGGGAAACTCGCGACGCCCGCTGCACCGGCGGCATATGATCAAAACGCGTCGTCGTGCCGGCAGGAGGGTGAGGCCGACGTGCGCCGGTATCCCTCGGGTCAGGAGAGACGTGCGAATTCGGGAAGGAAGGACGGCGAATCTACGGCGAATCGCGAATCACCGGGGCGCAGTGAATCAGGTACTCGTACGAATTTTTCGGTGAGAGACAAATCGGCGATGGGCACGTCGAGTTCAAAGAGCAAGAAGAAACCCGAGGGAAAAATCGGGGGGGAGAAGAACGAGAAATCGACACCCGGCTCCCGCCACGAACGAATAGTGAAGAGTGAGACGTCGGAGACGAGAATAATCGAACGACACGAGGAGAGTACGAGCGCTAACCAGCGCGATGGCCTTCGCAATTCGAAGTATTCGACGTGGGAGTCGAAGCGCGAGGAGAGGCGCGAGGAAAAGCACGAGGAAGAAACGCGCAGTGTCTCATCCCGAGAGAGCGACACGAGGAATTCGTCCGACGACGAGGCGAGCTTTCGAAGAACGGACGTTCCAGTGAGCGAGAGTCCCTCGCTCGAGGACGAGTTGATCGATGTTCAAGGACACGACTCGTCCAGCAGCACCACGTCCCTGAACACCGTGAAGCATCGTCCGTTGGAAGCGTCGTTGACCGATATTACCGCGATTGTCCGCGAGACGAGAGAGGAGAGCTCGAAAGACGGAGAAGCGGGAGGATCCCTGAAGCGGAAGCTCGCCTTGCTGAAAAACACGGAAAGATCGGTAAATGAGACGACGCCGAGAGAGAATTCGAAATCGCCCCAGCCTCGCCTCCCTTACTCGCCCGTGGAGGATCTTTATCGTGCGCCATTGAAGAAAGCGGCCTCAGAAACTTCTGAGATAGCCGCAAAAGACGTGTCGCGGCAACCACCCTCTCTCAGGAAGCTCTGCGTTGAGAGGATTCGGTCGATGCCGTACGGACCGCAAGTGATAGGCGAGATCACTACGCCAAAGTTCAACATCTTCGAGAGCTTGCGGACTCTACAGAGGTTCGTTAGTGACGCGCCCGCGCATCCGCACGATAACGCTCAACGACTAAACTCAATGCATGGAGTGAGTGATCGACGGCACGGACTAACGAAAACGTCGGACGAGACCGGCGAGCGTCATCGTCCTAACGACATTACGAACGCTGTTTCAGACCGGGCCAAGTTGCCGAAAAGCATTAATATTGAGTTGTCAGAGTCGTCGGAGAACGAGATGGAGAACCACCGGGAACCACGGTGGCGTGCGCTCACTACGACGGACCCGAGGCTTCTGATATGCCTGTCGCCGTCGCAACAGGCCACGCAGGTGCGCACGAGTGCCGACACCCTGCTGGACCTTCACCGAAAGTTCCTAAACCGGTACAGTTACCGCGAGGACCAGCCACACTACGTTCCTCTGCCGCAGTACCGAGTTGAGATCCGTCCGATCAAAGAGGGCGACGACGCGATTTCGAAAACACCGAAGCCGACTACTCGAGCGAGTCGCCGAGACAGCACGATCGAGAGTTCCAGCAGTAGGCTGCTGGAAATCATCAAGGAAGAACGAAACGGTCCTCGAAACGATACACTCGCGGATCAGCAGACGAAGACGATAACCGATGACGCCACTGGCGACTCTTTTGGGCGCAGGGGTCAAGAATGTTTCAAGGCCGAGCCACGGCCGAACGACTGGTTCAATCTGGCCAGACACGATTGCCGAAGCGCCACCGCGAACGAGTTATTCTTCGCGACGACGAGAGGCGACGATAAGCCGAGCGGTGGTCACGTGGCCCAGTCCGATCGGCTTAAGATTGCGACACGTTCCGCCGCCCAGGCTGGACATCGATCGTCGGCAAACGACAACGCGATAACTCAGAGAGATTCAGAGAGATCGTCAGCGAATAACGTTAAGTGCCCGATCGTGCTGAACGGTACGATCGTTACCGATCGATCGATGGACGCCGCTGGCAAGAGGACGCCGCCCCTCAGGAAGACAATCGATCTTGGCAAGCACGTGAATCCGGCGTTGATCGACGACAAGCTCGAGGTACCGCCGTTGCCGAAGCGCGCGGTCACTGTCGACAGATCGTGCATCGATACGACGAGTATTTTCGATCAGAGTCCGCCGAGGAGTCGTCTGGAGCCGCGTAGAGGACATCGCGAAGCGGAGAAACTGAAACACGTGGCCGCTGTGGAGATCGTGGATAAACTGAAAGAGCTGCAGACGGAAACGTCACGGCGGCTCGACGACGACGATAAGAAGGGCTCGCTACCTCAGGAATACTTCGCTCAGCAGCTGAGGTACATCGAGCTGCTGGAAGATCAACTGAAAAACGTGATATTAGCGGAAGAGGAGGAACGGAAGGCTTTCGAGGAATTCCAAACGCATTTTCATCGAACGAAACAATGTGACGACACGAGGAGGCCGTCTCTCGCCGACATTCTCGAAGAAACCTCGAAAAAGATCAGCATAAATCTCGAACGCGAACGTAAAATTCCGATCGATGTCCGTGGGATGACAGACGGAAAATGTGGGGAAGATAAGCGAGCGGGACCTCGAGGTCTCGAGGAGAAATGCCTCAAGGAGACCTATCGAAGCGAGCCGAGAATTCAAAAAGAATCTTGGCAAGAGAAGTCACGGAATGTAGAAAAGAATCGTACGGAGACGATCGATAAAGTAGGCGATCGGCAGTTTCTGAAGAAGGTACGCCACGAGAACGGGCATCACCAGGAGAAATCCTCAGAAAGTGTTAAACATGAGGAACGCCACGTGATCACGCAGAAGGAAAACTTGGCGGGGACGGAGGGGAATGGAACGTTTGAGTCTCGCGAGGACAAAGTTAACGATTGTTGCACGAAAACGCGGTCGACGGGGACACCTCGAAACGACTCCGAGGTGTTCGCTGAAAAGACGACTCAGCGTAAGAACGTTGAAGTGAGGAGGCCGACGACGTTACCGACGAACGGAGAGGCATTTCGCCAGCGAATGTACGACGAGTACGTGCACAAGGTGCTGGAGCGGCAGGAGCGGAAGAGCCACAAAGTCGTGAAGATCAGCTCGCACGAGGACATAAAGCGCAAAGCGGATGGTGATATGAGCGCGATGGCGAAGGAATTTATCGAGAAGGCACGCAGCAGGCTGAACAAGTTCGGGATCAATCTCGACGAGAGCGGAGGGACGGAGCACGAGGATGACGATGGCGATGCTCTAATCAACGCGAAATTTCTAATAGACGGCAAGGAGCTGCAGGACGTTCGGAAGCTGCCGAAGCATCTGCGGGAGTTCCTGAAGATCTCCACGATGAGCGACAACGAGGGCGGTGAGTTACGGCGATTGGAATGGACGATCGAGTTTGCTGTGTTGCTCGTCGTGTTGCGATGATGATTGGTGCCGATTGGTGGCTGCTGAGAAAGCGAGTGTCCCGCCCGGAAGTCAAACAAATCCGTCCTGAACTCTCGAATGTCCTCGCCAAGGGACGCCTTTTAACAACCACTAACGTAACGCGCGCATCTTGTCCGACGTCCGTAGATGGCCTTAGTGTTTGTCGTCACTAACGTTCTTGGTATTATGCTAATTCTTTCTATCTGTCCGCCTGGAACAGCCAACGATACATGAAGGGACTGTTGGACAAACAAATGGCAGGCAGGATGTATAATTAATCCTTTATTAAAATGTTTATCCGGCGCAACGTTGTCCCTTTTACAAACTCGTTTTAATAAATATGATTTAAAGAGACCGGAAGCTGCGATATAAAATTTCGCGTAATAAAGCGCGATAAAGTAACACTCGTGTTGCAATTGATTGAAATAATTGAAATATTTTTTTTGGAATATCACACAAATTTCTCATCTTCAATTCCGTACAAATGAAACCGAGCTGTAAAATTTAAAACATCGCGACTCTCGGTTAAAATGATTGAAAAGCGAAAAATTGGGGATTTCTCCAATAAATGTCAGATCGTTCTCGTCAGATCGCCTCAGCTATCACATCGTGGGCGAACTTTCTTAATATGGGAGACAAGCGGTAATTCTCGCGTCGAAACGGAAATCTCATTACTGTCTTGAGTACTGTTTTCCTGCACAGCTCCGGAGAGCAAGATTAGTTCTCTCGGCAAAGCGGAAGCGCGTCGATCTATTTACGTTGGTGCAGGTCGTGCAGCATCATAATCACACAGTCCAGATTGCTCCAATTCCGTAATCCGATTAATAACTCGTCTCGCAACGATCGGTCTTGTACAAATAATGAATCTCATTGTATCGCGAAACGCGCGAGTTAACGCGATATTGTAACAAATACGCGTGTTTACGCGCTTTCCTCTCATTGCCGGCTCTCTTGCCTAACTTGCCGTGGTATCGGGTGCGCCTGCAGCGGGATTTAATATTCCGCTACATAAATCCGGCACGCGTGCTGCTCGTATATTTTGTCATTTATTTGGAGACGGTGATCGATTCGTCAAAGCGACGCTATGGACAATTATTGCGTTACACATTCGTGTTCGTGGCGCTGCGACGGCGTCATATAGAT